CCTCGCGTTTCGCGAGTTGCTCGCCTAGCCGGCGCAAGGCTACCTCGCGGCGATTCACCTCGGCTTCGCGCTCGGCGAGTGCGGCATCCCGTTCCCGGCATGCCTCTTCCCGCAGCCGCAGCTCTTCCGCGCGGCGGTCAGTGGAAGCTTTCGCGGCGAGGGTGGTCCGATCACGCTCGGCCGCGGCCTCTTCACGGAGGCGAAGGGAAGCCTCCACCTCTGCCGCCGTTCTTTCATGGGCGGCCAAGGTGGACTCCCGCTGATCTAGCAGGCGCGCTCGCTCTTCCAGCTCCCGGGCCCGCTGCGCCTGTTCTTCACCGCGCGCGTTTTGCTCGCGCTGGTTTCGATCGAGGACCTCGATCCGGCAACGGATTGTGGCTTCAAACTCCTGTGTGGAGTGGACACGATCATCCAAGGCCCTGCGTTCAGCCTTGAGTGCCGTCGTCCGGGCCCGCAGCGAGGCGTCGGCCTCCGATGCCCGTCGCTCATGGGCAGCGGCTGCGTCGAGGATGCCGCGCGCGTCCCTGATCCTCTTTGCCAAGTCCTCGGCGTGAGCCTCGTACTGAAGGCGGATATCGCCTAGCGCTTCATCCAGGACGCTCGAGGCGATCAGCGCCGCCTGCCGCTCCTCTTCCGCCTCCCGCATGACGGAGTCCAGTGCCTCCTCGCGCACTTGGATTTTGGCTAGTTGGGTTTGACACATTTTGCGCCCCACCCTCACCATGTCGTCCACGGCGCGACGCCCCTCGTCGACTCGCGCGCGGTCCGCGGCGAGTTGTGCCCACTCTGCATCCAGGGCCGCCCGCTCTTCCGCCAGGGCTTGAACTTGGGTGTTCAGCCCCTCTCTTATAGTGGAGTCGGCAGCGGCGAGCACCTGCAGAAGTGGCTCCATACTTGCCGGAGTCGGGGAGGAAAAGGCCGCGGTCCGCCCCCGGGACGACGGGGTACTGCTGGATCCCCCGCGAGACTGGGGGCTGCTCTCGGCCCCCCCTTTTGAGAGGCCAGCCTCGAGGGCGCCCCAAGCGCAAGGGGGAACGGCTATCCCTCTCACCCCCCGCTTCGGGTCCTCGAGTGGATTCAGCCTCGGCCTCGGGCTCGGGCTCGGGACCGCCCCTAGCCTCGACCTCAACCTCGGGCTCGGGACCGCCCCCGGCTTCGGCCTCGGCATCGGGCCCAGGACCGTCCCCAGCCTCGGCCTCGGCCTCGAGCCCGGCACCGCCCTCAGCCTCGACCTCAACCTCGGGCTCGGGACCGCCCCCGGCCTCGGCCTCGATCTCGGGCCCGGGACCGCCCCCAGCCTCGACCTCAACCTCGGGCTCGGGACCACCTCCGGCTTCGACTCCCAGTCCGCGACCTCCTTCACCCCCTGATCCTGGGTGGTGCTCCGCGTGGACCCTGGTCCCGGAGCCGCCCCCGGGAGGAGCATCGCCACCTCTGCCGCCCCCAGCAGGATGGGTCCCGCCTGAGGGTCGCTCGGGATCGGGCCCGGTGCGTGTCCCTTGCGGGGGGTTTGACCCTGAGATTCCCTGAGAAGGAATCTCGCTACAAGGGAACCCAGATCATGTTAACAAAAGAAAAAGAAGGAACAAGAAAATGGGTTGGGTGAGAGCACCGAAGTGAGCCCCAACAGTCGTACCTACGGGGAGGGCGGTTGAAGGTCCACTTTGGGGGCTCGATGAAGCCCCCCCGGTATGGCTCCGTTTGCCCTATCTTCCGGAGCCGCTTCTTTTTCTGACCAGCCTCGGGCCCGGCAGGTCGCTTGTGGCCTGTTGGGGAACGATCCGCTGCACGCTCGGCACCTCCTCTATGCGGGGGAGAGGGCGGCCGGGAATAGGCCACCTTCCGTTTTCCCTTTGGGTCGCCGGTGGAATCGTCTCCGGGTCCGCGGCTCAATCCAGGCGCCCTTGAACCACCGTCGCCTAGACCGCCGGCCCGGCTCCCGCCCGTGATCGCACCACCGCCACCCGTGCCAATGACGCTACCGCTGGCGCCGCCTCGGCTGGACCGGCTCCTACCGGCGCCGACGACAGACATCATGGCCAGAATGCTCTCCCGGTCGCGGTCGCAGCAGAGGGGAAGAATCCCATCTAGGATTAGTGTTGGCTCGGCGGAGTCTAGGCCCAGCACCCGCCGAATCACCATCTTCGCGTCCTCCGCACCCCAGTCCCAGCGCTCGCCCACATGCGTCCGCATGGGGTCGTTTGGACCAATGTATTCCCACGCTCGACGGGATCGTTCCTGAAGAGGTGCGATGCGGCGGCAGAAGTAATCGCCAAAGACCATCGCCCCCGTGAGGCCCAGGCTCCGCAGGCCCCTAAGGCGATCCCACACCGCGTCGTATTCCTCGCCCAGCTCCGAAGTCGCCAGCCATGCGGCGGACCTTTCAGGAGGGCCAGCGGGAACTCGAAGTCGCGGATGGTCCGGCAACGCGGTGTAGAACCAATCCTTCTTCCAGTCCTCCCATTTCTTGCGGAGATGGCTCTCGATGTACTGACCCGCTGTGCCTGGCCGGGGTTGGAAGTAGCATCCCCCACCACCGTGCCTTGCAACAACTGCGGAATGAAGAAGGCCTAGAACAACCGCATCGTCGGTCGCACCCCAATGAACATCTCGCACAAATGCGCAAAGATGGCCAGCGTCATCACGGCATTGGGTGCGAGATGCAAGGCATGAATTTCGTAGAAATCCAGAACCTCATGGAAGAATCTGGAGAACGGCGGAATCAAGCCCGTCATGGCGAAGGACAAGAGGTGCACGGATCGCTCCGAATATCGCGGCCGCGACCGCGACTCTCCCGCCCGGACGATGGCACCGTCTGGCATGATCTTGCGGGGAAGGCTAAGGTGCCTGTCTGTTGTGATGCGGGAGGAAGGGAGCACTGCGTCGCTGGTGTCTTGGGCCATGGCAACCGGCGGAGAAGTGGCGGAGAGCGTGGAGCGCGAGACAGTATGAGGTGGCGAGAATGTTAGGGTTCGAGAAGCGAAAGGACGAGTGGGCGGTTGGCGAAAGGAAGGGGGCAGAGTCTCTGCCTCCGCCCCCTTTTATCCTCGCTTCATCCGCACTTGCCTCCTCGTTTCGCGCTCCCATACTTGCCCCCACGATTCTCGCGCCCGCATTTGTCTCTTCGCATCTTGCGCCCAATCATCACGTCGCCCGTTGTATCCGTTCCCGCCTTTAGTGCGTCTGTCAGTGGCGCATTCGAGGTGGAGTGCACAACAGCTATGAGCGCAGGTTGAGCAAACCATCACCACTACCGCCGCAGGAGTAGCGAGCGGGAGAATCGAGGCGTGGTCTGACTGACCCCCCGGGATTATCGCGCCTCAAGCATCTTCATCATGAGCGCGGTCAGTGGCGGTCAAACCGCTGTTATGGTTGGCACGCCAACCTGGCCACGCGGCGATATCCTTTTGGATCCCCTGCCGGGCCCACAACCCCAGCTCGAGGAGTCGTGAGGCGCCATGTCAGAACGATCTCAAGAAATCGATACCTGATATAGCGCCGGGGGCTACTGTCGGAGATATGGACCCGGGGGTATGTGAAGTAGAGGGGAATTACTTTCCCTCCGGCCACGTGACTCTGCAAGTTAGCCCCATTCGCGCGTCACGCGAGTCGTGGAAGCCGCGAGGGGGGGAGCCTCGGGGCATGGCGTGACCCCCTCGGGCTATCCCGCGGCTTCGCCCCAAGGCCCTCACCCGGCTGCCACACGGCGAAGGGAAAGAGCGGGAGCACAGGCTGAACAGCCATAAATGTGCGACGCCCCAACTGTCCCTCACCGCATTTAATGCGGTAAGGGCAGACGTGCGGCGCGCCTAGCTAACCTCTGTCCAACGGATGTGACCGGTCTGTGACCGGCCTGGCACCGTCACATCCGACGGATAGGGCAACCATATCCTCACGTCGCCTTTGTACCCGGCGGAGTGGGGGTGGGTATGACCCGTCACGTCCGAGCGTCGCTCGAGGAAGGGCTGTCACAGGTCATCGTTCATTTATGAGGGAATGACAGGGCTGTCCCCCGTGTCAGGCGGGGGGCGACGCCTGGTTTCACTCGAGAGCCGGTTGTTGCTTAGCTTCCGGGAGAAGGCACGGTTTAAAGCCCAGGAAAAGTGGAGTGGGATCCCCCTCCGATAGAGGGTAGGTAGAGGCGGCGCATGTGATATCCCCTTGAGCTATAAAAGGAGGACCCTGCCCACTGAGACAGGAAAAGGTGGAGAAAAAACCTAAACTCCAGGAGGGAGGGAGCGAGAGCGCTTTCTAGAGTGAAGAAATCTTTGTAAAACTCATCCATAATCCCAAACACAGGAGTAGGGTGTTACGCTCCATAGTGGCCCGAACCTGTATAATCCGATTGTGTGCAAGCTTGCCGGTGATCCTAGAGACGAGCGAGTGATTTCCAAGAGATGAGCCTCCGCCCCCGACCGAACTCACAAATGGGGGGTCTCACGATTCCCCGCTATTGAGGATCTCTCCTCGACAGCCTCATCCCATCCTAGGTTGCTATATGGAGGTAGTAAATCACATGGACCAATCAGATGGTGGTGTTTCCGCCCGCACGAGAAGGTTAGATGTGCAAAGATGACAAAAGTTGGAGGTGTTTTTTCACAAAAGTGCAGTGCAATCCACTCTATTTTATCTCAGCATGTGTAGCGGCCGACCAAGTGGGAGCTCCCCGATCCAGACAAACTGCAGCATATACACACACGTACGCACCCGCATCTCCTCTCAAATTAAACTCCCAAATTAATTAAAGAGAAGCAGCAGGAGAAGAAAAAGCTAAGGAAAAAACAAGAAAAGAAAAGGCATCGATCGAGTGGAGATCCAAATCACCGCGAAAGAAGGCCCCCCGCGAGCGCGAGGAATCCTTCCTTCTTCCTCCACTCGACTCGAGTAAGTTTTCCACCTGCCTCTGCTGCAGCAATCCGCCATTGATATAATGATTGATTGATTTTCCGCCAGAGTGCGATGAGTTCGTGGTTAGTTGATTGATTCGTTTGGTTTTGTTGGATTTGTCTTTTTTTTTGTGTGATTTTCCTCTTTGGTTTTTCTTTTGTTGGTTTGGCCACTTTCAGTCTAATGCAAGCGATTTACAGAGTGATGAAGAATCTGTTCTTCTTTTCTCTCTCTCTCTAGAACACAAGTAGCAGATAAAAGACTGGGGAAATTTTCCTTTTTTTTTTTTTGCCCACTAGAGTTCACTTGATGGATTAGTGAAACTAATTTGATAGTGTGATGCATGAAATCGTGTATGGCCATGGGAAGGGAAATATTTGTTTTTTTTTAACCATCTTTTCTTAATATTTGCATGGAATTTGAAAAGGAAGAGGAGGAGGATCTCTCTGCCGTACCAAAAAAGAAACATTTTCTTTTGTTTAGCTAGTTGGGTAACATCAATGAAGTATTTATTCACATTGCAGGTAGAACTAGCTCTGTAATTTCGAAATTAATGGTTGACTAATGATGCTGCAAGATGGTTATTATGGATCTGTACGGACGAGCAAACCTTCAAGATCAAAGTATTCAACTTTGAAGCACAACCTGAACATGATTAGGGGGGCTTAGAGACTCATAATTGCTGGGAAACAATGATGGTCTAAACATATCATTTTTTAGGAGCAAATATAAAAATGGTTTGCTATATTTTGTTGCTTTGCTTTTGTTCTTTCTTTGCACAAAGGTACTACTTCAGTTCAGGACACACACATAAAGGTTGGGTTCAATAGTAATACTAAATTATTGAAGGCAGGCAGAAAGCAGGATCAATGTCAGGTCGTGGCAATGATTAATCCATCTAGAACTGCATCCACTTAAGATCTTTTGGTGTTTGCATATTCAGTTAACGCACAAGAGCCCTGTAGGAGTGCTCTGTAATGCAATTCAGTTTGTTCTACCTTGGATTGCAATACTGATAGAATGTACAATAGTGAGCAATGTAAGTTCAGGATAATTTACTACTCAAAAATCGTTCTGAGATTTACCTGTCGTGCAGTATGCTCTTCCTACTTGCTGTTCTTGGGTTTTGTGTTATAGTTCTTGTTTCTGTAACTTGATAATTGCGTTGTTTACAGAACCTACTTGTAGTGCTTGGATTTTGTGATATAATTCATGTTTCTGTAACCTGATAATTGTTTTGTTTTCAGAATTTCTTTTGGAGCAAACCAGCTGGGGCTTAGAGAAGGCTTTGGAGGAATGGAATTAACTTGTTCCTCTGAAGAAAGTAACTCAAAAGAGAATTCTGTAAATTCATCTTCATCTCCAATAGAAAGTTCAGGACCTTTTGTGTACTACCCAACTCCACCTGCCACCAAGGATGATGCAGGTAACAGTAGTGATCATGAAAAACCAAATGCGCACAGCGAAAAATCATCCCAACCAGTCATTTTGAAATACTCTAATGGACTGACAGATCATGTTGGTTGCATGGATTCACCTTCATCGATCGTAGAAAGGTCCCTCCTTGATTCAACAAAGCCCCACATGGAATCTAACTCTGCAACAGATGCAATTCCTGAAATTCTCTCTAATTCAGGACTAAGTGAGGCATTCAACCACTCGGTAAAGGATGAGGCAGATGGTTCTTCAGAAGATGCCCTTGAGGTGAACCATTTGTCTGACAATGTCTCAGCTGGTGCTGAAACTATGTTGACAGATGAAATGAATTCTAAAGAAGACAGGATAGATCAGAAAAATGTTGCTGTAAAGCCAAAAATGGTAGAAGAACAAGGAGCGGCACCTGAAAGTCCATATAAAGGCCTTATTGACACCGCTGCACCTTTTGAGTCTGTTAGAGAAGCTGTCACCAAGTTTGGAGGAATTGTTGATTGGAAAGCCCACAAAGCTCAAATGATGGAGGTAATTCTTGTCACTCTTAAAACTGTAGTGGATAATAGGCTTTGTAGAAGAATTAAAATAGAGATGCTGTACAATTGAATTCTAACCATGCACAGAGTCTAAAATATATTTTTATTATGCAGAGGCGCAAGTTCATACAACTTGAACTTGAGAAGGTTCAAAAGGAAATTCCACTCTATAAAGAGGAACTAGAAGCTGCTGAGATGGTTAAATCACAAGTAGTCAATGAACTAGAGGACACCCGGAGAATTATTGAGGAACTGAAGCATAATCTTGAGAAAGCACAGGTTGAAGAAGTTCAGGCAAAACAGGATTCTGAGCTTGCACTACTTAGAGCGCAAGAAATCGAGCAAGGAGTAGCTGACGAAGCTAGTGTGATAGCCAAGACTCAAATTGAAGTTGCCAAAGAAAGGCATGAAAAGGCTATTGCTGAACTAAACTCGGTGAAAGAGGAGCTGAAAACAGTACATGAGCAGTATGTTACCTTAATCAATGAAAGGGACACAGCTATCAAAAGGTCAGAGGAAGTTATTTCTGTTGGGAAGGACATTGAGAAGCGAGTGGAGGAACTGACGCTGGAACTGATTGCATCCAAAGGTTCTCTTGAGTTGGCGCATGCTGCACATCATGAAGCAGAAGAACGTAGAATTGGTGCAGCATTGGAGAAGGAGGAAGATTGCGTTGCTTGGGATAGAGAGTTGCAACAGGCACAAGAGGAGCTTCAGCAACTCAACAATAAGCTTCTGTCCAAAAGTGATGTGAAGCAGAATCTAGATACAAATTTACGCAGGCTGCGTAGCCTCAAGTCAGAGCTGGCAACTTATGTACAAAATGTAATTAGTGAAGAAGCTGAAGGACTTGTGAAAGAACATGGGCCTGATGATGCTCAACAAATTAGTGGTCCAGTTAAGGAAGCTCTAGCTTCAGCACAGAAGGAGCTTGAAGAGGTTAGAGCAAACATAGAAAAGGCAAAAAATGAGGCCAAATTGTTCAAACTTGCAGCCACAACCCTCAGATCAGAAATGGACAATGAGAAATCTTCACTTGTTGAATTGCAGCAGAGGGAAGGTATGGCATCTATTGCAATCTGTGCACTAGAAGCTGAGCTCAATAGGACGAAACAAGAGATAGAATATGTAAAGTCTAAAGAAGAAGATGCTCAAGAGAGGATGGTAGAACTTCCTAGGATCTTGCAGGAGGCAGCTCAGGAGGCTGAGGACGCGAAGATGGTAGCTTTCTCAGTACAAGAGCAGGTGAGGAAGGCAAGGGAAGAAACCGAGAAAACCAAAACAGCTGCAGCCACAGTAAATACCAGGTTAAGTGCTGTTCTGAAAGAAATAGATGCATCCAAAGCATCCAAGAAGCTAGCGTTTGCGGCGGTTCAAGCATTGCAAGAAAGTGAAGAGGCAGGAGATGATGAGAATTCTCCCAGAGGAGTGACACTTCCTCTGAGCGAGTATTACACCCTTAGCAAGAAAGTGCATGAAGCTGAACAGCTGGCACATGAGAGTGTCACAGAAGCACTGGCACAGGTGGAGTCGGCAAAGGCGTCTGAATCAAATAGCCTAGAGAGACTATGTGAAGCATCCAAGAGGATGAATGAGAAGAAGGAAGCTCTTGAAAGAGCATTAGAGAGAGCTGAGAGAGCAAACCAAGGGAAACTAACTGCTGAGCAGGAACTGAGGAAATGGAGAGCTGATCATGAGCAGCGCAGGAAAGCTCAAGAAGCCGCGAAACGGGCAGTTAACCCTTTGAGTAGCTCACCTAAGAGAATTGTTGAACAGAAGGATTCTTTCTACAAAGAGTTCTCAGGTAATAGTTATGAGGACCTTGTTCCGAATCGGAAGCTGCGGAGGAAGAAATCTTTCTTCCCACTAATGGGCTCTCTTTTATCCAGAAAGACTCGGGCATAAACATAGCAGAAGATAACAAGGTCCCAGGTCTTGGGCAGTTTTATTTCTGTACATTGCTGTAATAAGTTAATTTAATTGGTCTTGAAATTTGGTGTCTAACTTAAGTTTTGATTTAATTTGTTGGTGTAAACAACCAGAGGGCGTATAGTGGTGTGTTTATAACAATTTTTTGGGTTACTTTGGATAAATTCTGCAAAGAAATGTGCATTCCTTGAGTGTAGCTATGTTCTGTAATCTCCTCAAACTGGAAAGGATCTGACTAGTGGCATATTTCTGTTGGGTATAATATTGTTCTGTGTAATCTTCCTCCCAACTGTGTGCCTCAGTTATCTTTTGTGAAGATCTTAATAGTGTGTTTCTAATGGAATGTCCAAAAGAGCATCAGGCAGGCAATATGTTCTCAAAGTAATGTTGGTTCTTGCAGGAACAGATTTGCATATACACTAAGATTCAGAAATGAACAACAACCATGTGGTAAAACTGAAGGAGAAATTGTACAAAAAAGAACTGAAGGAAAGATTCAGCAAAATGGTTGTCTAATCTTAGTTTTTTTTTCCTGAACACAGACAGTAACACCATCACCTCCTTCCAGAGCCCAAGTAGCAGCAGCAAAAGCATGAAACAACCAAATCAAACATGAAACACACAAACAAAGGAGGATGGTCCAGACATACAGGTCTTGTCAATTGCCATCGAAATTATACAGCAATTGACGAAAGAACATTTGGGTATTCTTGGTCAGAGAAAGAAGAATATGTCTCATGCTGACCCTACAAATCTTATTCATCCCCACTCTAAAGTTTATCCGTCCCACAAGAATTGAATACCTTTTCTAAGATCCTGTTCTTCTCAAGGTCCCACAGAGAACACCCAAAGTTGCAATAAAAAAGAATCACAATAACTTTGTAGTGATGAAGAATCTTGAGATGGCACCCTACAGCAATGGGGTTTGTCTGCATAAAGAACAGGAGGCTTTCTGCCATATATTCTTCACAGTGAACCACAAGAAAGACCTAAAGCTATGTAAATGTAAGAAAAAAAAAGAAAAAAAACACAAGCACTAGATCAAGGGCACCTGAAACTAAATTGGCTCAGATTTTCATGAGGGAAGAACGACTTGCAGGCAGCACCTCACACTGTCAAGAATTCAGCCACTAACATAGGAGCATATCACAGTTCTTCCATTAAGCATGCGATCGTAGCACTCCAAATTGGAGTAATAAGATGCAAAGCAAAGCAATGCTGTCTTGCAGTTTGGACGGTAACATGGTGTGCAGTCAAAACAAGGAAGACCCGAAGAAATGGCGATCAATGGCTTGAAGAAGTTGGCTGAGTTCAGCGGGGCATTTAACTTTTTACCACTTTTAAATGTGTCAATTAAGAATTTATCGCTCATAGTCTATCACATATGGAGCCTTACGTGTTCAGTAGTTTTCGCTGCCTTCAGGATATAATAATAGGGTCTCTTTTGTAAACTTTAGGATACCTACCAACTAAAGGGAAAACTAAGGAGCTCTTTTAAACAAATTAAGGACCGGTTCCAATAGCAGCGGTCCAACCAGGGGCTGTTTTGCAAATCCATTTCGCCTCACCGGAGATGAGATCCCATCGACGCGACGCCGCCGCCTCCTTCCTCCTCCTCTCGTCGGAGCCACCGCCGGTGAGGGCACCCAGCACGCATCGGTGGAATTGACGGCGACCGCATCTTCTCCTCCGCTCCGATCTGACCCTGTTCGTTCCGTGCAGGGAGGGATTCATCGCGAGCGGCGGCTGAATTGGAACAGGTGAAACCAATGCAGCCGCACCCGCAGCCAGTGAGGAGATCGTCGTCTCCGGCCTCCGGGAATAGCGGTTTTTGATCGAAGACGCTTATGAAGGTAATTTATTAACGGTGTTTGTGCATTTGTGGAATTGTGGATAGCTATTCTGATTTTCATGCTCTCTTGCTATTTACTATAGCCTTAACAGAGAAAATTATAGGTCATAATCAAGGTGCTTAAATACTGTCTAACTACTTCATGTAGTAACCAAGTGAACACCATGTTTGATTCGATAACTACATTAAATACAAACCAAAAAAGTTACTAGCAAGGCACATCTATTTAGCTAGTAAAGACAAACCCCTAACAACCAATAGATAGAATGGTTAACCTTTTTTATTCCTCTCGAAACCCTTACAGCCAACAGATAGAAATATAAAATGGTGGTTTCCTGACAAAGTTCTAGGGACAGCAACAGAACAAGTGGATGAGAACACAGATAATTGTGTGCGCCTGCGTTGCTCGATTACTCGAAGCAGCCAGTGTGGTAAGAATCCCAATCCTGTCTCCTCTGTGGGCTGGTCAGTCAATGAAGAATGAAGAATCTGCTTCATGCCTACCAAGTACCAAATGCTATCCTCGCACGTGCATTCCAAACTTTCCGAGACTCTGTTCTTCCCAAGGACCCATAGGCTAAAGAGAATCACAATGGAGTATGTAGTATAGTTTAGAATTTGGGTTGGATGGATGGGTGTACACCGTGCACCTAGTAAGACAAAGTAGCAAACTTTGCGCCATTATATTTTTCAGAATGAAACACATGGTTCGTTGTGCCATTATATATATACTGTTATTTTTTCTGATCCTAACTCCTATCTACGCTTTTGAAATGAGTTGGGAAAAGCAATTTAAGAACTCTTCCAGCTTCCATTCACTTGCAAATTGAAACCAAATCATATGGTTCTGCTCCTCGAACAATCAGTTAAGATTGCAGACAAAACCAATTACCAAAGGCTCAAAGCTGCCCTGAAGGTAGGCCCGATCTATGGATGAAAACAGTAATACGATAAGTACTCCTTTTCTGAAGTGAGATCAGTGTGCGTACAAAGAAATAAATCATCCAACAGCCAACAGATAGAATGGTTAGCCTTTTTATTCCTCTCAAACCCTTACAGCCAACAGATAGAATAGTAAGCCTCTTTGTCCTTCTCAAACTGTAAGACGGTGGCTTCCTGCCGAAGTTCCATGGACAGCAACGGAACAAGCGGATAATAAAACAGACAATTGTGTGTACTTGTGCTGCTCGATCACTCGAAGTAGCCAGTGTGGTAAGAATCTCATCCTGTTTCCTCCGTGGGCTGGTCAGTCACTGAAGAATGAAGAATCTGCTTCATGCCTACCAAGTACCAAATGCTATCCTCGCACGTGCTTTCCAAACTTTCCGAGATACTATTCTTCTCAAGGACCCATAGGCTAGAGGGAATCACAATGGAGAATGTAGTACAGTTTAGAATTTGGGTTAGATGGGTACACATAATAAGACAAAGTAGAAAACTTTATGCCATTATATTTTTCAGAAGGGCTAATGTTCTGGCAGCAAAATATTCTAGAGAACGCATATCTATTTTTTCTGGTTCTAAGTCCTCCTAACTCCTATGCACATAGTATTTGAAAATGAGTTGGGAGGCAGTTTAAGAACTCTTCCAGTTTCCATTCGCTTTAAACCAAATCATATGACTGTACTAACACAATCAATTCAGTATTTTCAGAATGCGGAGATGAAAGGTTCGAAGCAGCCTAGAAGATCCATGGACGAAAATACTAATATGATAAGTAGTTTTCATCGTACATATGGAGTGTATGTTAAACTAAAGAAAAACTCCTACATGGTTCGTGGGACAAAAATGATGATACTAGTGAATTACAACTTAAATATGTGGCCAATATCATGATCATCTCAGAAAGTGAGATCAGTGTGCCCACAAAGAAATAATTCATCTTCATATACACACACACACTGTAGTCTGAAGTTGATCCTACAATTGCAGCTGGCTGGTCATCACAGCGAGAACTGGAATCAAATAATTGAAATGCCGACGTATCACAGAAAAAGATAAGCCATTCTCTCTCGTCCTATCAGATAAAAGCTGGAACGTAACAGTGTGATATTTTTCTGCAGGTCCAAATAACAAAACAACGTGATACACACAAGTGGAAGGTTTTCCATTATCTAAAAAAGCGCACACAAAATGGGAGATACGATGCCAAAGTAAAGAGAGCAAATGTCGTGTCTTCCACTATGAGCAAAGAACCCTTGCAACCTGCAGATAGAAACGAATAAAGCTACGATAAAAATTGTCACTTAAATAGATATACACTCATTTCATACATGTCACCTAAAAAGTCATGATTTTTTTTAAAAAAAATTAGCAAGATAGATCAATATATATTATTTCAATTTTTAAAGTTAAAATTCAACCTACACAAGTAGAAAAAAAAAACTATCAAAAGTGCATACTATTACAATTAATATTTGTTACTTAATTATTTATTTATATGAGTCAAATTTGAAGTTACATGTTTGTAGAATAATATATCATATAGTATTGAGTTATCTTACTAATTTTTCAGGTGATGTGTATGAAACAAGTGTATGTACATTCGAGTGACAAAAACCACATCCTAATGCAACGATGTGAACATCCAAGGGCAGTATAAAAGGAGGTGCAGCTGCGAGGCATTGACCTGCACTCCCTTCCTCCTAGCTCGAAGTGAGCAATCACTCTTGTGAAACTTTTGCAGACGCCAGCCATGGCGATCAGGGGCATCCCGTCCTCTCGCGAGATGACCGTGGACGACTTCAAGAACTGGCTGAAGCAGTTCGACACCGACAACGACGGCCGGATAAGCCGGGGCGAGCTCCGGGAGGCCATCCGCCGCCGCGGCGGCTGGTTCTCCGGCCTGAAAGCCGGCCGCGCCGTCCGCCACGCCGACAGGGACAACAGCGGCTTCGTGGACGAGTCCGAGATCGAGAACCTCGTCGCCTTCGCCCAGAAAACTCTGGGCATGAAGGTTACTGCCTGGTAGAACTGAACACTACTGGCAGCAATAAGCATTATTAAGCTAGTTTCATGGATTTTCATATGCTTGAGCTTAAAATGGGTAGAGAGCACTGTGGCAGTAGTGCTAGCTTTTGATTAAGCTATAAAAATATTGCCTTCTATGTTGCTTTTCTTTGCTGTGTGGTAGTAACTGGTAAAGTTTGACTTGCATGCCAGCTTCTCCTGAATAATTTGTGTAAAAGCAGGAGAATGTCTGCCATGATGCTGTGATACTTTGAGTGATCCTCTGTTGGTATTGACTCTGGTGAAGATGAAAATGAATTGGTGATTATGGCCATTTTAGTAACACAGTTAGCATTTCTTCTCAGATGGTTTCAACTTTCAAGAGATGACATGCCTGATTATGCCCATTCTTAAGAGAAGCAAACTCAGCAGCAAAGGGCATCATGTTGAGTACTTCAGGTAAGGTTGGAGTGTCAGGTGACAGGCCCAAACATTCAGATAACATAATCAACTAAGTGCAACAAATTTCACATTCAGATAACATATTGTTGAAGGAGTTGAGAGGACAGAAAAATGATCACAATTTCATCCCCCCTTCTTGGCTTGTTGCAGTGCCCTACTGGTAAAATTCGTTGATGGTTTTCACCTAATCAAGCTATGTGTAAAATTCCTAAGAAGAACCAAAGCATGAAGCGCACATAGCTTGGGGTTAATATCATTGAGTTGCATGCAACAGCTAGTTCTGTTGGAATTAATGAATGGGCCTTAGCCCACTCGAAGATTAATTCTTTGGAAAATCACAAAAGCCCACCTCATGGGATGGCATGCATGTGGAATTTAGTACCACCTTGCTTATTCTAGGAGAAGGGGACCTCCTTAAAAGGGAGGATGCCCTCCTAGCCACTTGAAGCATGTGTGGTGGAGAGAAGAGGGGAAACACGCGCTCGCCTCGCCTCGCCTGGCAGGGCAGGCGGCGCGCGTGCACGACGTACGCGTCGAATAGTCTGAAAAATTGGCTCCTCACCCTTGCGCAGATGCAGCCTCCTTTTGCAGTTTTGTTTTGCTGCAAATTCGGATTCGTTTTTGTTTTGGAAACGTTCCGAAAAATCCGATGCGTGCAAACGGCGTGGAGTCCGGATAAGTTACGCGCGACTTATCCGGTTCGGTTACGCGCAGTAGAGATCGTGCGGGCGCCCTGATCAAGCGACCCTTCTCTATATAAACCGACCCGCCGTCTTCACGCAATATATGCGAAAATCAATCTAGGGTTTGCCTCTTACTCTGTACTGCGCCGTCGCTCGTAGACTACTCCATCCCGCTCGCCGGCGTGCACCAGCGATCGGGAGAGCAGGTCTCCGGAACCTCTGCCTTTGACGTCCTGCACCGGGAGAAGGCGGCAATAAGGTTTTTGGGAAGCGCTTCGCGCGACTGCTCCCTGTTCGTTCGCGACGGCTCGCCTTCCTCTTCGCTCGCGTGTTTCGTGCCTTCGTAGACACCTGCGAAAAGTTTCGACCAAGCAGCCGGTCTTTTCGTCACCTCGGTACGTGTTCAATATGTTGCGCATATTTGATCTGTTCATGTTATTCTGCGTAGTTTACATGTGTAGATCTAATGATGCGTTCATGCTAGTTTTCATCTGTAATGTCATGACTTATTTATGGAATAAATTAAATCATTATATGCCCATAATCTCAACAATCCAAAACCTTATTATAGGCACTGTGATTTTACTATGGCTGATTTTGCCGATGCACTGAGGCCGGATAAATTCACCGGTGTGCATTTTAAGAGATGGCAGATCAGGGTCACTCTGTGGCTGACAGCTATGAAATGCTTCTGGGTGAGTACTGGCAAACCTGAAGGAGTTCTTACTGCTGAACAGCAGAAGCAATTCGAGGAAGCCACTACTCTCTTTGTGGGATGCATTCTTAGCGTTCTTGGCGATCGTCTGGTCGAGGTGTATATGCATATGACCGACGCTAAGGAGTTGTGGGATGCACTGAATACTAAATTCGGTGCTACTGATGCTAGCAATGATCTGTATATCATGGAGCAGTTTCATGACTACAAAATGGCTGACAACCGTTCTGTAGTCGAACAGGCTCATGAGATACAAACCATGGCTAAGGAACTCGAACTCCTTAAGTGTGTCTTACCCGACAAATTTGTGGCCAGGTGCATTATTGCAAAACTACCTCCATCTTGGAGGAGTTTCGGTACTGCACTCAAACACAAGAGACAGGAATACTCCGTTGAGGGGTTGATTGCGTCTCTTGATGTTGAGGAGAAAGCTCGGGAAAAAGATGCCGCGTCTAAGGGCGATGGTGGGCAGTCCAGTGCCAATGTTGTGCACAAGGCCCAGAACAAGAGCAAGGGGAAATACAAAGCTCAGCAGACCACCAACTTCAAGAAGCAGAAGAAGAACAACAACAATCCTAATCAGGATGAGAGGACTTGCTTTGTGTGTGGCCAAGTTGGTCATCTGGCTAGGAAGTGTCCACAACGCAAGGGGATGAAGGCACCTGCAGGGCAGACTTCTAAGTCTGCTAATGTGACCATTGGCAACACTGGAGATGGAAGCGGGTATGGTAATTTACCTACTGTTTTTTCAGTTAATCAATCTACTAATTGGTGGGTTGATACTGGGGCCAATGTACATGTTTGTGCTGACATCTCATTGTTTTCTTCTTATCAGGTCGCACGGGGTTCCACCGTCCTAATGGGGAATGGGTCACATGCTTCTGTTCATGGTGTTGGCACGGTAGATCTGAAGTTTACTTCGGGAAAGATCGTGCAGCTGAAGAACGTGCAGCATGTCCCTTCTATCGACAGGAATCTTGTTAGTGGCTCCCGTCTGACTAGAGACGGATTTAAGTTGGTTTTTGAGTCTAATAAAGTAGTCGTGTCTAAACATGGATATTTTATTGGTAAAGGTTATGAGTGCGGAGGCCTGTTCCGCTTTTCCCTTTCTGATTTCTGCAATAAGTCTGTGAACCATATTTGTGGCAGTGTGGATGATGAGGCTAATGTTTGGCATTCACGTTTATGTCATATTAATTTTGGCTTGATGTCTCGGCTTTCCAGCATGTGTTTAATTCCTAAGTTTTCCATTGTCAAAGGTTCTAAGTGCCATAGTTGTGTGCAATCGAAGCAACCTCGCAAGCCTCACAAGGCTGCCGAGGAGAGAAACTTGGCACCACTAGAACTCCTACATTCAGATCTTTGTGAAATGAATGGGGTGTTGACGAAGGGTGGAAAACGATATTTCATGACATTGATTGATGATGCTACTAGATTTTGCTATGTGTACTTGTTGAAAACGAAAGACGAGGCTCTAGACTATTTTAAAATTTATAAGGCAGAGGTTGAAAATCAACTTGACAGAAAGATAAAAAGGCTTAGGTCTGATCGTGGTGGAGAGTTTTTCTCGAACGAGTTTGACTTATTCTGTGAGGAACATGGCATCATACATGAGAGGACGCCTCCCTATTCTCCCGAGTCTAATGGGATTGCTGAAAGGAAGAACCGCACACTGACTGACTTGGTGAATGCCATGTTGGACACCGCGGGACTGCCTAAGGCATGGTGGGGGGAGGCATTGTTGACCTCAAATCATGTGTTAAACAGAGTTCCTAACAGAAATAAGGACAAAACACCATATGAGATATGGATTGGTAGAAAACCATCACTTTCTTATTTGCGCACATGGGGGTGCTTGGCGAAAGTCAATGTACCAATAACGAAGAAGCGCAAACTTGGACCTAAGACTGTGGACTGTGTTTTTCTGGGATATGCTCATCATAGCATTGCCTATAGATTTTTAATAGTTAAATCCGAGGTACCGGACATGCATGTTGGTACAATTATGGAGTCTCGTGATGCTACCTTCTTTGAGAGCTTTTTCCCAATGTAGGATACACATAGTGGTTCGAACCAACCCTCTGAAATAATTCCCAGTTCAATCACACCACCAGAACAAACTGAACATACACATGAACTTGTCTCTGAGGAGGATGTCAGTGAAGCTCCTCGAAGGAGTAAGAGACAAAGGACGGCTAAGTCTTTTGGTGATGATTTCACTGTGTACCTCGTGGATGACACTCCTAAGTCAATTTCAGAAGCATATGCATCTCCTGATGCAGACTACTGGAAGGAGGTTGTCCGTAGTGAAATGGATTCCATTATCGCTAACGGGACTTGGGAGGTGACAGAGCGACCCTATGGGTGTAAACCTGTGGGGTGCAAGTGGGTGTTCAAGAAGAAGCTTAGGCCTGACGGTACTATTGAAAAGTACAAGGCTCGGCTTGTTGCTAAGGGCTATACTCAGAAAGAAGGCGAAGATTTCTTTGACACTTACTCACCTGTTGCTAGATTGACCACAATTCGTGTGCTACTTTCCCTAGCAGCCTCACATGGTCTTCTCGTTCATCAAATGGACGTTAAGACAGCTTTTCTTAATGGAGAGCTGGATGAGGAGATCTATATGGATCAACCTGATGGGTTTGTACTTGAAGGTCAAGAAGGCAAAGTGTGCAAATTGTTGAAGTCTTTGTATGGTCTGAAACAAGCTCCTAAGCAATGGCATGAGAAATTTGACAAAACATTGACATCTGCAGGCTTTGCAGTCAATGAGGCAGATAAATGTGTGTACTATCGCCATGGTGGGGGTGAGGGAGTTATTTTGTGCTTGTATGTTGACGACATACTGATATTTGGGACAAACCTTGAGGTGATAAATGAGGTTAAATCATTCTTGTCTCAAAATTTTGATATGAAAGATTTGGGAGTAGCTGATGTTATTTTAAACATTAAGCTAATTAGAGGTGAGAATGGGATTACACTCTTGCAGTCTCATTATGTGGAGAAGATCTTGAATCGCTTTGGCTACATTGATAGTAAGCCTTCTCCAACACCTTATGATCCTAGCTTGTCGCTTCGCAAGAACAAGAGAATTGCTAGGAATCAACTGGAATACTCCCAAATCATTGGCTCGTTGATGTACCTGGCTAGTGCAACTAGGCCTGATATCTCCTTTGCTGTGAGCAAGTTGAGCCGATTTACCTCTAATCCGGGAGATGATCACTGGCGTGCGCTTGAGCGAGTAATGCGCTATCTGAAAGGTACTGTGGAATTGGGGCTTCACTATACTGGGTATCCTGCGGTACTGGAGGGTTATAGTGATTCTAACTGGATCTCTGATGTGGATGAGATCAAAGCCACTAGTGGATATGTTTTCACACTGGGTGGTGGTGCTGTTTCATGGAGGTCTTGCAAACAGACAATTTTGACGAGGTCAACCATGGAAGCAGAGCTAACGGCACTGGATACTGCTACTGTTGAGGC